GGGTCTTGTTTAGATTTATTGCTTTTCCGTTCTATTCTCGGGGCTCTTTTCACTTGATAATTGATGAATGTTGTGAGTGCTGCATGCGCAGGCACATACACTCGCACACACACACACACACACACGCACACACACATAAACATACAAATATAGGACACTACATGGCTGTGTTCAAGTTTTGCTTTGGGCATGTTGTTTATTTGCATGACAAATGCTCAGAGATCAGCCAAAAATAAACAATGACATGTCAATCACTGATTCAATTAAGTCAAGTGCAGTTCACATAGACACACACACACACAAGCACACCCACACACGCAAAGCCTTAAAAGCGCCTGCCTCAGTTTCAATTGCGCCCAATCTTAAATCTGTCATCAAGTATACGCAATGTCGCAAGGACACGCGTTCCGCAGCTGTCTTTTAGAGTCTGGCCGAAATAGTAGGCAACAAATAAATAACAACCAAATTGCAATAATTAAAAAATGTTCCCTCGTTAACTGTTCGACCAAGAAATTTCCCTTTGTAATGTGCAAATATGGAAATTATTTAAGTTTAAATAAATTTTAATATGGTCAGAAATATAGTATAGTATAGAGCGTCTAAGGCCTTTAGGCTGATCGAAATTATTTATTTGGAAGATATTTAAACATTTTAAACAAATTTCAGCTTCAAATTTCATTGCTGAGATGTGCCTAAAACATTCAATTTTCATTGTTACAAAAAAAACTCAAAGCAAGAAGAATATATAAAATATTAAATGCAGAAAACTGTCAGGAAAATATAGTTTTTTATATAAAAATAGTTATTTAAAATTTAAAATATTACTTACCTGTCCAAGAGCTTGTATGCAAATAACAATGTTTCACCTTTACTTCACGCATTAGAGCGGATTTATTTAATTATTATTCAACATTTATCCCATTTATTTAACATGTAAGTTTCCAATTTGTAGTATTGCTAAAATGAATAAAATACAATTACAATTAATATTTAAAAGTAGAATAATAGAAATAGAAAAGCTAAAACAAAAGTTTTCCATTCATTTTCCAATTTCCATTTTCCATTTTCTCATAAACTTGAATTTCGCACTAAACATAATATTCTAAAGCGTAAAGAAATGTGGCCCTAGCACATATACCCTAATGAACTTTCGCATACAGGGTATGTGAGTGCGATACTTTAATAATAATAATAAATAATAAAGGCGGTGAAACAAAAATCCCAAGAGGCGGCTACCAAACGCTGCTCAAAGTCGCAGACAGCTGTTTATTGTTTATGCGTGTGTGACTGAGTGTCTGTGTGTGAGTGTGAGTGTGTGGGTGTGGGTGTGGGTGTGTGTTGCGTGAACAATTGCCAGCGCCTGCTGATGACAAGTGTTGCGTGTTTTGAATATAGGACTATGTACTTGTGCCTACTTATACACTTACACACACTCATATAGTCAGACAAGGCTTGTGCGTGTGAAGCACGCCCTTCTAATGACAAGCCATGCGAACTTCTCAACTTGTGGCTTGATTATAATGTGATATAATGTCATACTTTGCTGGTTATTTGTCACGGCTAGAGTCACTTCACAGCGTGGCACTTGACGCGGAGCAACAGCCAAAAAAGAAGCAAAGTAATTCTAGAGAATTCGCAGCAACAATTTGTTGCTGTCAAATCCGTTGACTTGAAACTTTTACTGAAATTTAAGAGCAGTTCAGAGTGCAACATTAGTAACTGGAGTTGGGAAATTGCATTTTCTTGGCAGCTATTTTAATTGCACCAAAACTTTGCCGTGAGCTCTACTTCGTTTTCATGTTCAAAACAATTTTCATTTTCAAGGGAAAGCAATTATTATTATATTATATGAAATTGTTCTCAATTTCAAAAGATGCCCTTTAAGTGTTTTTCGACCCATTTGTTGCATATTCCAAATTAAAGTACATCTTTATCAGCTATCTCTGACTCCATTTAGGCGTCGCCATCAATCATCTGACAAACTGCCTGGCACGCAACAACTACCCCTCCCTCCCCTCACCCCACACTCACCCTGAACAGCCCCCAATCAAAGCAGGAAATGTGTCGAACAACAAATATGCAAAAAGGCAGCCCAATCTAAGGTTATGGACGGCATATGCTCACCGTACGCCTAAAAGGCTGCAGCAATTTCGTTGATTAGTCCGGTGTCTGCGGGAATTTCCTTTCGGTTCGTCTTTCACATCGCCCATTTTGTTTCCCTTCCTCTATCTCTCTGCTGGCTATGGCCAAACATAAAAACTAAACGCCGAACATACACACTTACACACCCACACACACGCAAGCACACACACCTCAATAACAGCGAACGGCGTTTACGAAGTTTTTCTCGCTTCTCAAATTCCTTATATTTGTACACTGAAAAAATGGATTCTGCAATGCTTAACCCTAGGCTATTTTTTTGCATTATTGAGATTAAATGATTATAACACTATTATATTTATTAAGACCAATTACTTTAAACGCTGCAGATATTCAAAAATATCAAAAATAGTTTTCGACAAACGGAATTAGATATTTAAAATATTTATATTATATTATATTATATATTATATTTAAAATGCATTTAAATTCGATTAAGCATTTAAATTCGATTAAGCTTAAAGCCAGCAAATAAATTCTTGCAACACCCATTTCCACCTACTTCCGATAATTTCACCTTTGGGAGTGGATTGGCTAAAACTCTGTCTTATGATTTTGGCGTCTATATATTGTCTTTGATTTAACAGATTGCATAGAGATTCCAATTACTGTCATTCGTATCCTCTTCTTATTCAGCGAATTAAAGAATGCAAAATTGTTGATCCTTTCTGTCTGCCCGGAACATCTTCAAGCTCGCGCTTTTCGAGCTTATCATACAAACATTTAATAAATTTAATATGCACATATTATTATGTATTATTATAATTATATTTATAGGTTTGCCTTTTAATGTAGTCGTCATAAAGTGAAGGCTCATTCATGTTTCGTAGCCTTGAATACATTTCGAGCTGTTATTTTTCTTTGTGTGGCGCCTGGTTTTTATTATTACTAAAACAGGCTTTAAGGCGCACACACACACGCACACACACAGACACACATGAGGCATATCCTTGCTGGCAGCAGCAGCCCAGCACCTTTTTGGCACAGGTGCACGCTGATATATGTTGTACGGGGGCAAAGTCGTTTCAGGCTCGGGTCCTCTGATATATGTGGCCACGTGGCGTTGGCGACCAAATGCCAGCTCGTTTTAGCCAAGATACCATCAGAGCTCGGCCCGCCTGCCACCATGTTGCATACATAAACATGTATATATGTATATTTTGGCAGGCGCGCATTTCAGTTTCTAATCAAGGTTATTTTATGCCTGCCAAGCGCGCTCTTAATGCCCAAATTACATATTTAGTTATCGTTGTTGGCTGTCGTCGTTGTAACTGTGGTTGTTGTTGTGGGCGTGTCTTGTGGCAGCCATTTGGCATGCTGATTCTTGCTGGCAATCTAAGCGGCATTTTGGCAACGCGTCGTATGCGTGATAAATTCAAGCCGAGTCCTGCCGACGCTAACGCTTTAGCCGTAATGCGGCATCTTTATGCGATTTTGGTTTTTCTTCTTTTTTTTTTTTTGCTTTAAAGGGACAACCTCCAGCTAATTAGACCGCACAGCACGGTGGGAGTTGTGCCAGGACAAAATACAAAGGCTAACAACAACAATGGCAATTGTTTGCCAAGACAGAACCATTATCGTTAGCCATGGTTTGGGGCCTGTACAGGCAGACGGGCCACATTTGTTGCCTTCACTTGTAAGTACATACGGCTCCAGACCAATTCCCTGCTAGTCAACTGTTGTTGTTGCTGCTGCTGCTGCCGCTGCTGCTGGGGGCATGCTGCATGCTGCATGCTGATGGCTGTTTATGGTCTCTGGCCAAAAATCATCATCAACATTATTGTTATGCCAGTTATTGTTGTTGTTCAGTTAGTTGACTTTTTGCAGCTTATTGTTGTGTCTCATGCTAAGTGCCTGGCCTGGGCAATTAGTTTTCGCAGCCACTGTAGCTTTAATTTAAATGCAAAGTATATGCCGCAAAAAGGACAAAGCCCATGTGTCTCTCGCTCTTTGTGTGTGTGTTTGCCTGTCTGTGTGTGTGTGTGTGGGATTTACATGTATTTAAGCCTCTGTTTAATGGACTCAACTGAATGTTGCTATTCATTCATCAATCAATACAACGATTGCGCTGCTAGATTCGGGTCAAAAGAGTTTGTCACCCGAGAGAGGCTGCAAATAGCCTGCCATCGCCTGCTGTCTGTTATGGTAACTGTGTGTATGTGTGTGTGTGTGTGTGCAGCTCATAGAGCACTTAATGCGGCAATAAGCGAGGATACGAACACATGACAGCAAGCATATCTGGGCCATTGGCATTAAGTGCTTGTCAATTTGCATTGATTTGACACACAGCCTTTTGATTATTCAAAAGATGCATGTGGACAAATGAATATGTTAAAGGATTCGATTGAATCAACTTTTCAACTGTTTAAATTTTCCGAGTGCACTGCAAGACACCCTCTAGGACAGGTCGCCAAGTGGACGTGTATGTTGACTGTTGTCAAGTTTAAAATATATTCTGGCGGCTTCTAGCAAAAATTATTCGACTATTTGTTAGCAAAATCATTAAAAACGTGGACTTTGAGTCTTTGTTTAAAAATAAAAAAAAATCGTTGCATAGTAAACTATTTAAAGTTTTTATATGGCTGCCAGACCAGAGTAGGAAATAATATAACTCTTTACGATATTAATAATTAATTGTTACTTTTAATAATTTTGTTATATTAATTTTTATTTAAGCATTAAATATTTACTTGTTTTTAAATAATAATAAATATTTGTCTATATTTTTATTATTTTTTAAAAATTATTTAAAAATCTTTATTTATATTTATTTTCATATAAAAAATATACTTTCTATATTTTATGCTCATGTTTTTTTCTTCTGCTTAATATCTTTGCAGCTGACATGTTCAAGGCCAGCGAACGCGCCACTTTATGTTTGGGTAAGTTTAGCCTGATAAATATTCGAAATAAATAAATAAACAGAAACTCATTAAAAGTGAATGTGACCCGACAATTTAAACTTTGCGGCGGCCAAAAGGCTCGTAAATGTTTTGGCTGTGCCGCACAGAAGGCAGTTACAAAACTCTTAAATAGCTAATCAAAAATACATACAGAGACAGACACACACACAGTACTCACACAGGACTCACACACACACACACTTACACATACATGCATACACAACATAGCCAAGTGGGGAAAATGAAGAGAAGTAATATGTGTATATGTATTTAAGGGCTCAAAGATGTTGTGATGTCAAAGCAAATACAATTTGGGCAACACTTTTGCGAGTGTGCGTGTGTGTATGTGTGTGTGTGTGTGTCTGTGTGTGTGTGCATGTATTAATTTGATAAAGTTAACTAGACACGGAAACCGAGCGGGGCAAAGCTTAAATTAATCATACGCCATGTCATGCGAAATATAAATTTACTTTCCGTCCACATGGAAATTTCATTAAATTTCAAGCCTTTTCAAGGGCTTTAAGTGTTGGTTGTTGTTGTTGCTGCTGTTGATCTTGTTAAGAGTACACACACTCACACACACACATACACGCACGCACGCACACACGCGAGCCTAAAATGTCATTAGTTGAAATCACATGTCATTGACAACGCAAATTGACCCCAAACTCAAACATGGACTCACAGCTGTATAGGTATGTGCACTACAAAGGTAAATGAATGCATATGAGAGCCAAAGGTACATACACTAAGCGAAAAAATAAACAATTATGTTTTACTGGGATCAAAAAATAAACGTTGCTGAGAGTTAGCCAAGTTTGAAGTTGTATAGCTGTAAATTAAAGATATATTGTGCTTAGATTTTTTCTAGTATGTTTCAATTTCAATTTAATTGAATAAAATTCAAAAAACCAAATATAAAAGATCCAAATAAAATTCAGTTTTTTTTGCGGACTCAAATACATCACTTAATGTAAAATATTTTGTGTTTATTTGAAGTCTGCAAATATTTGCTAAAAATATTTCTTAACCTTTTTGATTATTTGTTGGAATTGAAAAGAATTCCAAAACCGAAAAAGAAACGTTTGAAATTAAACTCAGAGCAAAGTTCTGTTAACAAGAAGTTATTATTGACGAAATTTCTAAGGAGCAGACTTTAATATAGCTTTTAATTTAATATTTCAAAGGCGTATTTCAAGTATGCAAATACTTGCTAAAAGTATTTGCTAGCTTTTTTCCATCATGTTGCAAACTTTATTGAAAGAAACCCAAAAACGAAAAGTAAAAGTTCGAAATTAAACTCAGAAGAAAGTTCAATTTACAGAAAGTTCTTTTTTCTTTGAAAATTTTAAAAGAACATACTAAAATATAGTTTTCTATTGTATATATTATTTATTTTAAGTCTGCACATACTTGCTATTTCTTAACTTTTTTCCAGTAATGAGAAACTTAAACTATTTTTTTCAGTAAATTGCATACTTACTTGAAAAGAATTCGTAAACAAAATGTAAATGAAATTTGAAGCACAAAAAGTGGCATAAATTCTATGCTGAATGCACACAATTTTAGAACGCCTTTTTTCTTTCAGTGTATGTGGGTCGCCATAAATGTCTATATACATATGTATGTCAAGCGCTTTGTTCCAAGTGTGAACTATTGTTGTTGTCGTTTGTTTGTTTGTTTGTTTACTGGGCGCTTAAATGTTTGCCTACGTGTCAGCCTGCTGTCAGAGGCAGTCGCCTCTTGTCAACACGCATCCCCCTACCCCTACCCCTACCCCTACCCGCCCCTTCTGGCATCCACGCCCATTCAACTCTCTGCGCTCATCTGGCCGCATATGCCGGCGCCTGTTTTATGACAGTTCATTGATATTCATTTGGCTGTGTGTGTGTACAGCATGGGTGTGTGTGTAGTGTGGCTGTGTGTGTGTGTGTGTGTGTGTGTGTTGAACGCTTTTGTGCTTCACTTGACTGCCGCTTAAATTGCCTTCAATGCGGTTGCTAGACAACAAAAGTGAGCCGCCCAGGAAATTCAATTAAAAACGCAAATGACGCTGTGTGTATATGTGTGTGTATGTGTGTGTGTGTTAGTGTGCGTGTCCACAAATCGGCTTACGGGCCCCGTCCAGAAATTGTTCGCAAATGTCCTCAAGTGCCAGCAGCAGTTGCCAAAGTCAATCCAAAGTTTGATTTCCTGTGCCGTGCTCGCACTTTTGCCCTTTTTATTGCATACTTTGCTGCGCTTTGCAACGTTTCCTCTGCCACACAATCAATATGGCCACCAGATTCGTTATAGATTCATGTCCGGCATACATATTCCTTTCCCTCTTTTTTTTTGTGACTGTGTGTGTTTTCTCTACTTTGGTTTTTGCCTGCTGCATATGAATATGGGCGTCTGTATCCAGTGCACTTCTTGTGGCACTTTTTATGGGCTCTGCTGCTCGACTGCAAGCTTTTCTTTTGTGCCAGCTGGCTGGCATTTTTATACCCTTCCCAGGGGGCAATATACTACAGCATATAGCTATGTAGTTCAAATAGATGGAAAATGTTGTTCTATATGCAAAGCAGTTGCCTTTTTAAAGCTTCTCATAGGAGATGCAACTTATCTCCCCACATATCATAACTCTAGCATATACCATGCTATATAGTTAAAATCGGTCGAAAAGTAAGGCGAGCGTATTTATTCTTCGGCGTGCTGTTAGTTTTATTTTCGTGCTTTTTTATGGCAGTTAAACTGAAAAAACTCTTGCCTGATGCTGGTAAATCCACGGAAATAATGTTTTATATCCGTCTTGTGGTCCTTTGGTCCTTGGCTGGCGTCTGGTGTGCCTCTTAACTCGTTTGGTTGCCATTCGGCTTTAAAGTTCAAGTATCTGGCAAAAGTTCTATTAAACCAAAGCGCACAAAATCTCATCAATTTTTCAATGCACACCTGAGAGCGCTAGAGCCGAACAACAAGCAGCAACAAAATTAGCCAAGTTTTCTGGCCAAGTTCCAAGCGAAGCGTAAATTTCATCCAACCTCCAAATACATTGATATACATCTCTATCTCTCTCCCCTCGCCCCACTCTCTTGCTCTCTCTCTCTCTCTCTCTCTCTCTCTGTCTTTCTCTTCAAACTGACAGCAAGACACTTAATCCGCACGTTTACACCTCAACGCACACACACAAAGTAGACAAACGGGGCGGCATTGGATGGGGGCGTGCCTGCGGCTGAAGTCGCAATAAATTCGTGTATCTACTTAATAATTAACTGGCAAAAGTTTTTGGCACCACAACAAAAGGGCCCACAGGCAGCCACACAGCAATATGATTCCAGACAAAGGCCAGGGCAGCAAAAGGCAGTGGCAGGGTTGTATTTGTATATGAAAGGGGGATGTGAATAGCCCGAGAAAGACATATTTTGCCAGGAATATAAATTAATTCATTTTCGAAGTTCCTTTTTATATGCAACCCAAATCCATATTCTATTCGAAACAAAATGCCAGGGTTGCATGCAAACGATAAGGCTGCTTTTGTTAATCGACAGCAGAAAAGTTATCGATAACTAGGTAAAATAAAATAAAAATCGTTTGAAAATTAATTGTAATAAAGCCTGAAAACCTATTCGTGATGGTATGCTTTAACTATCGGCATATATGCAATAAAAATTGTTGTAATCGATAGTTATCGATAGCTAAACCAGATACCAAATACTTGTAATATGCCAGTTTCATATATTTAAAACTCGTTTGTAATGTAATATTTAATAAAGGCAGTTGACTGACTGTGTGTTTCTAATCGACAACTAGCTGTTGTTATCGATAAATGGACAACCTTTAAAAAAATCGTTTGAGGTAAAGTTGTTGTTGCCTGAAACCTTATTCAATATAATACATTTTAGATGTCAGCATAATTTCGATAAAAAGTTGTGTTATCGCTAGATTTAAGATTTATCGATATCCAAGCAAGATACTTAATACATATATTTTAAAGTCCGCTTTCAAGGTAGTAAGTTACAAAGGCAGTTAAATATCTTTTAAAATGCGCTTATGGTTATACACAACACCTTAGTTATCGATAACTATACCAAACTACAAAATACTCATTCAAGGTGAAGTTTTGCACCAACAAGAATGCTTATACTATCCAGCATATTTTAAATTATCGAAAGGGACGACATATTTAAAGCAATTAAATCACTTCAAGAACAATATTTGTTTTATCTTGTCTTGAGAGCTTGTTGGAACACATCTAAAAATTCCCTAAAAAATATTAAAATTTTTCAGATATATAAACAATCGATAAAATTGATAACTATTAATAAATTTAGCGTGAAGCCCTGTTTAAAGCTGTTTTATGGGAATGTAAACAAGTGTTACGCATTCTCACTTGTTTGATGAATGCACGATGTAAGGCTATTTGTTATCAAGCAGGCCGCATTGTTATCAGAATATTTACTCAACTACCATAAATTGCCAAGTTATTCAATACAATGGCCCACATACCGTTTGCGCCTTGAATGTGTTGGCATTTAACAGAGAGACTTTGTGCTCTGGTCTTCAAGGCCCTGATGACACTTGTAAAAGTTTTTTATATAGATGATTGTGGCTAGGTGCGAGTCGTCTATGAGGCGGATGTGGCAAATAGTGCGACGATTACAAGCAAAAATGCGACGTTGCCTTTAATTGCACTTGAACTTGCCTCGAGTTGGACACCCGCGTGAACCCCTCGTCGACCCCTAGAAGTTCAGGTTAATTTGCTTGGCGCTGCGGCTCCGCGTTGTTCCACTTGCTCATTAATTACAGCTAAGTCGTTGGGCCCTAATGATTTACCTGGATATGTTGTTGTTCTTGTTGTTGCCAGCTTTCTTTTTTTTTTGTGTCCTCTTGTTGTGTTGTGTTGGTGTTGCAAGTTTTGCGTTTTATTATTTCTTGATTTCATTGCTTTCCGTGGGCGCCTGTTGGCGCGTGCGGCTTCCTTTGGCCTTTGCCGGCTTGTT